TACTCAGCAATTAGGCATGGCCATGAGGACAGCCGGAATCAGGGAGCCCACTTTAGCCACTTCATCAAGGAGCCTGGCTATTCTTGGGGCTGCAGACACTAGAGGGCAGCCTTTATTCTCTCCGGGAGGGTCCTTGGTGTCAGTCCTTCCCGTTGTCTTGTGAAACCAGGGAAACTGGAGAGGCCTCTGAGAGTCACACGAGATACAGGACAGGCCTCGTGGAAGCGGTTCATCATGATGCCAGCCAGCCCTGGGACCCTCAGGGCTTGGGGCCTGAGTCCTCTGACCCAGAAGTGAACCAGGCCCAGGGCAGTTGGTGTCTCCCAGTTTAGGCTGCCCTGGTTTGGACCGCATTTTCACCATGTCCCTACCACCCCCTCCATCTCTGAATGCAGGTCCCAACTGAGTGAGTGCCTGGCCATCTGTAGCTTAGGGTACTGGCAGGGCATAGCCCGGGAGCCACGTTGAACCCTGACCCTGCTGCTTCAGTCTCTAGCTCAAGGCTGGCTTTATTAAAATGCAAAGGTTATACTCTCTCATCTTTTACATTGATAAAGTCACATAATTGAGGCTAAAGAAACTAAAAAACATTTTTTTTAAAGCAGCTAACATTTACTGGGCCCTTACTATATACTAAGCACTTTACAGGAGTAAATTATTTTAATCCTTCCAAGAAGTCTTTTTTAATTTTAATTAATTAATTTATTAATTGGTTAATTTATTTGAGAGAAGGGAAGGGAAGGGAGAGGCAGAGAGAGAAACTCAGTTGGCTGCCTCCTGCACACCCTGTACCACAACCCAGGGTTGAGTCCACAACCCAGGTATGTGCCCTGACCCGGAATGGGAACGGCAGCTTTTCGGGACACAGGATGTTGTCCAACCAAGTGCGCCACTCCCGAGAAGTCTCTGAGCCAGTCTATCCTTTCGTTTTCTGGGTGGAGAAACGGAAGCCAGTGAGGTTAAGTAACTTGCACAAGATCATACAGCTCGCAAGTTGGGGAGCCAGTCTTTGGCACCCGTCTTTAAAAGCCTATAGCTCTGGGAAATTTGGGTTGAAGGTGTCCTCTCAACAAGCACAGGAATGTGGAGAGGAGCAGGAACACCTTCGTGGTTTTGAAATTATCGTTGATCAACAATGTATTACACAAGTGGAGAGGGACAGGAGGAGTGGACGGAAGCTGGTTTATTGAATGCACATCCCAGATGCTTCACAGTCAACAAGGAAATACTTTTATTTTCTTAACCGATAGTCCCAAAATGCAATTTAGAAGGGAACAGCCTTTGTTTGGAAAATACCTTTGATCAGTTAGAAGGTGAAATGCCCTGGCCTGGATTTCATGGGGTGGAGGGGGCTCCAGGGAGGGGGTGTCTGATGTGCTGGGGAGGGAGGGTGGAGAGAGAGCAGAGGAGGGAGACGGGAGGGAGAGAGGGAGTGTGTGTGGGGGGAGGGCTGTTGGTGGGAAGTGCCAAGACAGGAACCCCTGGTGTCAGGGTGGTCAGAGGGGCCTTAGAAGGATGGGAATGTCTCATATGGGTTTTGAACAGCTTGCGGTGTCATGTGTTTATACGAATCCTTCCTGAGACCTCTCCCTGCCTCCTCAGGTCTTTAGAAAAGTCTGCTCATGAATGGCCTGTGTGAGCGGGATTTTTTTGTCTTTCATTTTGATGGATATCAGTGAAGCAGCTGTGATTTGTGTCTGGATTGACATGTGCTGAGCAGAGATCATGAGGAACCAGGTGGAAGGGACCACACAAGGATTTGCTGATATCTTAGATGGGCTTGCAACTTGCACAGGCTATGGGCTTGGGGAGTTAGGCCATCAGACCCTGATCTTGAAGGCCAGAGAGACCCCCGCCACTGACATGAAGGCTGCATGGATGAAAAAGGTGTTGTTCTTTTTATTGTTAATATTTTAGGGGTTGGGATCACCAGCCTTTCCCCAAGACATTGTAAGTGAGGAAGATAAGATGCCTTCTGAAACATAACTGTATACTGGAGCAAAGCAGAGATGTACAAACTCATCCTAGGAACAGAGACAGACCCTGTCAGTGACCAGTTCTTCTGAGGGTTTCCTAGTGACTGGTCCATCACTACATGCAAGAGGCAGCCCAAATCCCCTTGTCTGATCACAACAATCATCTAGTTATGATTTTACTCCTCAAATACAGTTGCACACAGGGAGAAAATGTGGTAATTACTTGGATACTCCAAATAATTTCTCATGGTAAATTAATAAGTTGGCATTCTGGTTACTCTTTCTGCCTATCTGGTTTGGTTAATGTGAGCCTCTGTCTGGCAAATGTCTTCCCTCTCCATGTGCTGAAGAAATGAAGCCTTTTAAATTCTGTCAGGCTGAGAGCTAGGCCCTATCTGTAATAAATTTATAAAAATAATAAATGTTACGTATGGATACCCTTGGGAGATTGTTTCATTGGCCTTTCCCCCTTTAGATGGCACCCTAACATTGCCCAATTTTATGGATGAGGAAACTAAGACTTCGGGCAGCTAAATAATTTGCACAAGGTTCACACAGAGCCAAGGTTCAAATCTAGGTTTGTGTGACTTCCAAGTGTATGTTGTTTTTCACAGTGCTCCATTTTTGACCTAAGTGAACAGAAGAGATATGTTTTGAAAAGGCATTTGTTTGTTAAATACTTTCCATCAAATACTGTGAGCTTATTCCTAAGATATATTCAATTACAGTGGTTCATTTGTTCATTCATCAGTTATCATTTACTATCCATTCATTTATCCATCCATCCATCCACTTATTTATAGGAATATTTTGAGTACCAGGTCTACTAGTAGGTACCAGGGATACAAACTCCTTTGCCCTCAAAGATCTTTCAGTCTGGAAGAGTTATCAAAAGGCACTTGTACTAACACTCGAAGTTCTGTTGTGCGTATGAAGTCACTGACGCCAGGCCATGCCTCCTCTTGCATCAAAGACTGGATTTGTGGGATTCCTCTCCACCCCAAGCTCTGTTGCCACTTGAATAACCTCAGGAACGATCTGCTCAACACTGCAGAAGAAGAAAGACATCTGTTGTTTTTGCTGGCCAGCAGACATTGACTCTTCTGGTAACAACACCCCCTTTTTCTTTTGCTGAACCATCTGCCAAGTGGATATGAGACTCAGGTCTGGCCAACCCCAGCAATATGTGCCTAGAATCACAGGGATTGGTTCAGAGAAGGGAATGTGACTCAAATTTGGGCCAGTCAGAGTAAGGCCCAGGGCTTAGGCCTAGTTAGGTTTATTCTCTCCTGCTCCTCTTGGACTGGTGAGGATGAAAGGAGTTGCTGGCACCTGTCTTGCTACCGCTAGAGAGGAGCTTACCTGAGGTCTGAGCCCATGCAGAGGACCGCAGAGCTGAAAGATGGAGAGAGTCCCAATCCTAATGACACCATAAAAGCTGTGCCTGAAGTTAAACTATCCCTCGACTTTTTAATAACACAAGCTTCTGCAGTCCCTTTTCAAGTTTAATTTGGGTTTTCTATCAACTGCAACTGAAAGAGACTGGATGGAGTCAAACCCAAGGCCTTTCATCTTTAGTGACTTCCACCCTTGTTCAGCCACAGAGTCCCTTGGATCCTGTGTCTGATCAACTGTGCTGTGTCGCCTCCAAAGTCATTAATTCAAA